CAAAACTGAAACAAAATCTTATATATTTAAGTATACTTGACTCAAATGGTTATAGATACACCGGTGAAGGTGAAGTTTTGAAGGTTAGTCGGGGTGCTCTCGTTTTCATGAAGGGGCATAAAAGTTCTGCAGAGTTATACATTTTGCAGGGTTCCACAATCATAGGGGATGCAGGAGTTTTTACTTCTTATTTGACAGATAAAGAAATTATAAAACTTTAGCATATGCGACTCGGGCATATGAGTGAGAATGATATAGCAGAGTTGAGTAGAATGTGAGTTCTTGATGCGTAGAAGACCAATCAAATGATTTTTTGTAAGCATTGTGTCTTTGAGAAACAGAAAAGAATCAGATTTACTAAAGACACAACACGAAAGTAGTACTTGAGTATATCCATTCAGATCTTTGGGGATCAGCCAGGGTACCTTCAAAAGGAGGTACTTATTACTTGTTGACAGTGATTGATGACTTCTCCAGGAAAGTTTGGGTATTTTTCTCAAAATAGAAGAGTGATATATTTGGGGCCTTCAAGGAGTGAGAAACAATGATAAAAAAGCAGAATGGAAAGTAGGTCAAACGTCTACTTACAGATAATGGGTTAGAGTTTTGTTCAGATGAATTCAATAGCTTCTACAATGTTGAAGGCATCTTGAGACACTTGCCAGTATTTGAAACTCCTCAATGGAATGGTGTGGCAGAACGGATGAATAGAACTTTGATGGAAAATGTTTATTGTATGCTTTCAAACTCTGGGTTGTCCAAGACCTTTTGGGCTGAATCTGCTACTACAACTTGTTTTCTGATAAATCACTCACCCTCAACTGCCATTGAGAAAAAGAAATCTGAAGAGGTATGGTCTAGTAAACCTTCTTGTTATTCTGTTTTGAAGATTTTTGAGTGTCCTGCTTATATTTATGTGGATAATGGGAAGTTAAAGTTTAGCTCTAGAAAATAAATCTTTTTTAGGTATAAATCAGGTGTGAATGAGTATAAATTATAGTGTCCCGAGACAAGAAAAATGGTGGTTAGTAGAGACGTGGTATTTGATGAACTTGTTGTAATTCATGGTTCACCTCGTGGGGATTCTAATAAAGTTGGGGAACAAAATCATTCAACTTAGGTAGAGTTGAAAATTGGTCTAGGGCCAATAAGAGGTTTCAGAACAGTCTACTACATATCAATCTAGTTCAGAGTAACAGACAGTAATACTTTGCCCACACCACTAGCAACACCATAGTATTTAATTGCTAATGATAGATCTCACAAACAAATTAGACCTCTATAGAAGTGTGGAAAAGCGGATTTGGTAGCTTGTACATTGAGTGTAACTGACAATATTGATTTCACTTAGGAGCCTGCTACATATTTAAAGGCAGTCAGTTGCAGTGATTCTAGCAGATGGTTGATTGCTATGTAGGAGAAGATGTAGTCATTGAATAAAATAATACTCAGAATTTGGTGAAATTACCTAAGGATAAAAAGGTTGTTCATTGCAAAATGGTGTTTAAAAGAAAGGAAGACACTTAAGGGATTGAAGATGTAATGTATAAAGCTAGATTGGTAGCAAAGTGCTACAGTCAAATTTTAGGTGTTGACTTCACCAATATGTTCTCACCAATTGTGAATCACAGTTGTAATCGAGCTTTACTTGGAGTGGTGGCTAAGAATGACTTGGAACTTAAGCAAATGGATGTCGGACAACATTCTTATATAGAGAACTTGAGAAGATCATTTACATGCAACAACCAAAAGGTTTCATAGTTTTTGAAAATGAAGATTATGTGTGCTTGTTGACGAAATCCTTGAATGAACTGAGTAGTCACCGAGACAGTGGTGTTTAAATTTTTCGGTTCATTCATGACTACGCATAGTTTCATTAAAAGTAATTATGATAATTGTGTGTACTTCATTTTAGATGGTGGATCGATCACATATTTGTTACTATATATTGATGATATACTCATAACGGACAAGGATAGAGCATAGGTCAGGAATGTGTAATCTCAACTTAGTATGGAGTTTGACACGAAAGATTTGAATGCAGCAAAAAAGATCATTGGTATGGAAATCTTAAAGGATAGGAAGGCTAGCAGATTGTATTTGAGTTAGGAGGAGGTACATTGAGAAGGTGATTCAAAAGTTCAATATGATGAATGCTAAAACAGTCAGTACTCCATTGGTTACCCACTTTAAATTATCATCTAACCCGTGTCCTCGGTCAAATGAAGACATTGATTACATGTCCCGGGTTCCTTATTCCAGTGCAGTTGCTTTGCTTATGTATACTATGGTTTGTATAAAACCATATTTGACTCATGCAGTTAGTGCAATTAGTAGATACATAACAAATCCTGGCAATGAACATTTGAAAGTAGTGCAGTTGATATTCAAATACTTGAGAGGATCTTCTAATGCTTGTTTACATTTTGGTAAAAATACAAATAAAGTCATTAGGTATGTGGATTCGAATTATGCAGATGATCTTGATAAGAGGATGTCACTTACAGGGTATGTGTTTACCCTGGGAGGCTGTACTATCAACTGAAAAGTTACTTTGCAGAATACAACAGCTTTGTCTACAACAGAGGCAAAGTACATGGCCATCACAGAAGCATGAAAAGATACTATGTAGTTGAGATGATTGATTGGTGAAATCAATGAAAACTTGCAGATTTCTACTGTGTATTGTGATATTAGGAGTGTTATTTTCTTGACTAAGGATCAAATGTTTCACGATAGTACTAAACACATTGATGTGAGGTATCATTTTGTAGGTGATGTGATTGCTCGTGGTGATATTGTAGTATACAAGGTTGATACCAAGGATAATCCTGCTGATATGATGATAAAACTACTTCCCATTGCTAAATTTGAGCATTATTTGAACTTAGTTGATGTTTGTCATTGATTTAACTTATTCGGGCTTGTTTGAAAAAGGTGGAGTGGTGTTTACTTGGATATGTAATTTTGAATTCTTTGTTGTGGAATTTGGTTCAAGGTGGAGATTTGTTATGACGTGACCCAAATTTCAAGTGATTTGGTGTTTAGTTGAATAAAAGTTGAATGAGTTTTGGTTTTGTGAGTCTTAATTAATAAAGATCAAATTTCATCAAGGATTGAGAGTTTGGTTTAAAAAATAACTTTGAGATGAAGAAAAGTACCTTGAAGGCATGATTACTGAAAGTGGGCGCCACGGCGCTGGCCATCATTGCAGCGCCCCTGCAACTATGACGCAGGGTCGGCGCCCCTGTCAAAAGAAAGCCATGGGTGCAGGCCCCGATGCTAGGGTGTTGGCACCAAGGCGCCACCATGACTGATTTATCCCCATTTTTTTGAATTTTATGTTTTCTCTTTTTCATCTAAAATTTTAAAACGAAGCTCCTATATATATATATTGCACATTGTTTTATTTCCATATATACATTTAATAACATTTCGAGAATTAGAGAGTTTAGACTTCAATTGAGATTTTGATATTGTAAACACATTTATTATTGATTCTCCTCATCTGCATGTGGTTTTTTTTTTTTCATATTGGGTTTTTATATAAATTTTTGTGTTCTTATTTTATTTTATAATTGTCATTATCTTGCGATCAATTCGTAACAAAACAAAATATTAAGATTTACAGTCTAGTTCAATTTTCCATGGATTAAAAGTTGATCTATATTTTTTATCTTTATTTGATATGAAATTTATCCTTTTAACATTGCTATGAATTTTTACAATTTTTCAAGATAGCCTGACAAGCCAAAAAAACCTTGCCCCCAGCACCGGCCAAATGTTACCAAAAGAGAAACTGCACAAGGTTAGGCATCCTTTAACAATCATGGCCTTTGTTTTTTGTCTTTTGATTAAATGAGCTGTAATCTCATTCAAAGTTATGTAGTCATTCTTGACAAAAAGTTGTACCCTTTCACACACCAATTCTTGCATTCAAAGAAAGTTTAGGCAACAAAAATTGACTTTTTCACCTTTTAATCTCTAGACATAATTCATTTGAAAATTGACAATATTAAAATAATATTTGAAAAGCCATATAACTCATGTTTCGCGTGAATTAATTAACATGGCACAAAAACATGTCACTTTGCCTGTCTTTGAAAACATTGTTAAAGAGACAAATTTATTTATTTATACTTTGTCTTTAATGCACCACATGCATGGCACACAAGATTCCTTTAACTCATCAAAATCTGGCCTTAAGCAATCTTAATAAATAAATAAGTGATGGGGTTCTGCTAATTATATGTTGTTAGGGATAAATCTCACATCTTATCTAGTGCTTCTCTATTGAAATTTACTAGTCTCAAATTCTTTATAACCTAGTTTAGGACGTGGGATTTAACCCTTGACACCATACTGTGCGAAATCACCTAAGTTTAAAACCTTAATTCTCAATGAGAAATACAAACTCATTTGTTAAATTTTTGTCTTTGACAATCAATTCAACTTGTATATCGAAACTTGTCGTTTTTTACAGAAGAATTGGAGGGAAATAGCCCATGTTTGGTTTTGCTAAAAATCACTTTTTTATTAGATTTTCAAAAAAAATTGATAAAATAAGTGGTTGAAAAATTGATAAAAATTATATATTCGAAGAAATGTGTGATTAAAATTAATTATTAACTTTAATTATAATTTATCAAAGTTTTAATTAAACCAAACATGGATATCCTTGTACCTTTGGCTTTCACCATGTTTTCTGGCCCCTTTGTAGCCTCATCCATCCACGTGCATTATAAAAGAATCTGTCGTGTCTTTCCATATCAAAGAATACAATTTTGATTTCAGAAGTCTTGTGGTCTACAAAGTATCGTACTGTATAGCCATATGTATCACTGATTTTCATTACTTTTGAAAGGAGAACAATTTTTTCAGACTTATTAAAATCAATAAGATATATTTAGAGCAAGTGGGCTCCTCCATCCAACTCCATTATTATTAGCATAGAGTATTGTGGTAGCTAGAGAGGCATCCCTAACCACATGGAACCAGCTATGGACAACAGAATCTCCTGTGACATTATGAGCTGGTTCGAGGACGTTTCCGAAAATGCGCCCAGCGTTCAAACACAGACACTTCGTCGGATTCTGCAACTCAATTTTGCCGCGGAGTATCTTAAGAAGTGGATAGGAGAAGTCAGTATTGAAGATATGGAAGATAGTGCATTGGAATCGCTTTACACCTCTTTGGTGCCTCTTGCTTCCCATGCAGATTTTGAACCTTATGTCCAAAGGATTGCTGATGGGGAAAAAGCACCTCTAATCACTCAAGAACCTATCACAACTCTCTCCTTGAGGTCTCAGTGCTCAAAACTCTTTTTGAGTCTCAAAAGATTTACAGTTTAGTCGATCCCAAATTTATTGGGAACATGAATTAGTTTGTTATTATTGCATATTCTTGATGAAACAAATACGAATTTTTTTTAGCTTTGGTTAGAAAAGAAGTTCCATAATAATAATTGGAATGACCAAAGGTAGTTGGAAGATGTGTCTTTCATGATGAAAGGAAAGAAAAAAAAATCCCAAATTGGCAAATTCTGTGCATATCCATAGACCATTAGCAGGAATTATTTGTTTGCACATCTCATAATGCTTTTGTTTTTCGATTAACTGCTTCTTCAGTTCCGGAACTACTGACGGCCGACAGAAGTACGTGCCTTTTACTCGCCATAGCTCCAAGACTACTCTTCAAATTTTCAAGCTTGCAGCAGCTTATAGATCAAGGTTTAACCCTGTTTGCTCTCTATCTCATCCACAACGTGTTCGAAACACTGTGTTTGATGGTTAATGGGCCGTCTTGTATGCGGGTATCCTCTTTTTTTCCCGTCAAAGAGAGTCTAATTTGATCTATGATTGCTAATGGTCTATTATGTATGCGTTGTGGTGTTTGTGTCCGTCATAGAAAGTCTATTTTGGTGTAGTGAAGGCCTCTTTTACCCTAAATATGAGCAGACGCACCGTTCAACTCCACTGGCTTTTCCATCGATGTATGGAACTCACAACAATTTTTGTTATCACAACCTCGTTTAAAAGCTTAATTGTAATGGATAACAAATTTTTTCGATGTTCTTGTTTATACTGAAGTGTTCCTTACAGGAGATTTTTATTCATTTGCTGGTTGTGCTAGAATTTATCCAATAAAAGAGGGAGGAAGAATCCTTGAGTTCATATACAGCAGCAAACAGTTCAAAACGAAGAGTGGCATAACAGTAGGAACAGCCACAACTCATTACTATGCAAGTGAGGAATTCAAGATTAAACAACAAGAGACAAAGTCATACATTTGTAGCCCCGAAGAAGTCATTTCAAGTGGTGACTACAAACAATCCACATACTGTCATCTCCTTCTCGGCCTATACTTTGACGATCAAGTCGAATTCATAGCCTCCACATTTGCATTCAGTATAATCCAATCATTCAGATCATTTGAGGAGTCTTGGAAAGATATATGCAATGACATCAGGGATGGAACCCTAAGTTCAAAAATCACCATTCCCTCTGTCAGAAAAGCGGTTCTTGATATAATTTCAGTACCCAATCCATCTTTGGCAAAAAGGGTTCAATCCAAATGTGTAGAATTGGAAGAAATGGATTGGTATGGACTGATTCCAAAGCTGTGGCCAAAAGCAAAATATGTGTATTCAATAATGACAGGATCTATGCAGCATTATTTGACAAAAATGAGGCATTATGCTGGGGATTTGCCACTGGTGAGTGCTGATTATGGTTCGACGGAGAGTTGGATTGGAGTAAATGTGGATCCTTGCTGTCCGCCAGAGAAAGTCAGTTTTGCTGTTGTGCCCACTTTTTCTTACTTTGAATTCATACCACTTAATAGATCGGAGAATGAAGATGGAAAATCAGCGATTGATGATTTTGTAGAAAACGATCCTGTGCCACTCTCTAATGTCAAGATTGGACAACAATATGAGATTGTTCTGACAACTTTCACAGGTCAGTAAATTAGATTAATCTCAGCATCTTCGTGCATGTTACCATTTTTATTTTATTTTATTTTTTTTTTACTTTTAGTAAATAAAATGTGTGGTTGAAAAGCTATGAATTGCATAAAATAAATAGTTGACTTTGCCTTGAAATTTTATTAACTTTGAAAAGTTATAAATTTTATGTTTGTTTGATAAAATTTTGCTGAAGTTTTATAAATTTTTCAACTGTCAAACTTAAATTTTATTTACACATTTATTGCACATAGAACTTTTATCAACTTTTCAATCACATATTTTATCAACTTTTATCAAAATTTACTATATTTTTATTAAAAGTTTGTCGAGCGAGCCCTTAATATCTCACATGCAAGACATTCATTTTTCTAATCAAAGGCGGAGGGCAATACCCGATCTTTAAAAATTGGTGGCAACAAAGTTGAATTTATATTCTCTAGTATAGTCATGTTAAACCACTTCATCCAAGACCTTAAACGACTAGATAGGAGATACATTTATTATAGATAGGAGATACATTTATTATAATTGACATTTTTTTTAGCATTGCCAATTAATTTTTTAATTTAAGCTAAATCATACTCTTTCACTTGGAAATAACTTATAAATAGACATTTTGTGATTGTTAAATACAGAAAATAAGTGCCTTTCTATCCACGTGAACACAATCAGAATTAAGGTTTTCAGAATATTTCATTTAGGTTTTCAAGATCAACCAATCTTTCAAGGTAGCCAAATGGGAGAAAAAAAAATTTAGCCGTCCAAATATTGTTGTCCTGCCTGAATTATCATCTCGTACATCATGGACCACATGCTCATGAACTGTCATGTTGTCATCTTGCAACTTGCCAATCTCTATTCAATTGATTGATACTACACTTAAAAAAGTCTTACCCTTATACAACATTAGTTTTCAATTGTTTAAAACCCTTTGGATAAGTAGATGAAACTAGAAGTTCCGATACGATATACTCTGTAGAGAGTCGGACGAATGAGATTTAGAAGTCATCGTAATGTCCAAAATAAATTCTAGTTTAGTCTTCCGATTTAGATTTTTAAACAATTGACTCCATTCTTCCTAGAAAAAATAAGTTCCAGCTCAATTTTGTGATTTTTGGATTTTTTGTGGTAATTTTAGGGTCTTTCTCCTGCACTAGCTAAGGTTATAGCTCCATTTTGTGATTTTTGGATTTTTTGTGGTAATTTTAGGGTCTTTCTCCTGCACTAGCTAAGGTTATAGAGGATTGTACAAATAAGATGCCTAGGATTGAGGATAAATTGTACATGCACTACAGATTTTGCTTGAAAAGACTTCCAAAATAAATAAATAAAATTATTTCGATTCTATGTAAAACTATACAAAGTCCTATAAAACACTTATATTTGTTACGCCATTCCTATAGTAAATGTCCCAACAATCTCTACAATGGATGGTCATGACACCTAGGTTTATCTTGATGTCTTTAATGATCAATTAAGATAAGAAATATATAAATTCAGAAAGGGAATTTTGAAAATTTACATATAATTGTCCAAAACTTTATTCTCATACCACATATTAATTTGTCATAGATTATTTCTTTAAATCTCTAACTTCTTCAATGCATGCAGGGCTCTATAGGTATAGATTAGGAGATGTGGTAGAAGTAGTTGGTTTCCACAGAAACACTCCCAAACTCAGCTTCATATGCAGGAGAAAGCTAATCTTAACTGTAAATATAGACAAGAATACTGAAAATGACCTTCAACAGGTGGTGGAAAAGGGTTCTAAAATACTAAGAAAAGCTAGAGCCGAGCTAGTCGATTTCACTAGCCACGCTGAGGTCGCAAAACACCCGGGTCATTACATAATTTACTGGGAAATCAAAGGAGAAGTTGAAGAAAGGATTCTTGAAGAATGTTGTAGAGAAATGGATGCTTCATTTGTTGATCATGGATATGTTGTGTCGAGAAGAAGCAATTCCATTGGACCTCTTGAACTTTGCATTGTGGAGAAAGGGACTTTCAAAAAGATTATGGATAATTTCATAGCAAATGGTGCAGCATTGAGCCAGTTCAAGACCCCTAGGTGCACTTCCAATCAGGTCCTGCTAAGAATTCTCAATCTGTGTACAATTAAAAGATTTCACAGCACAGCTTATGGGCCATAGAATTTCTCAATTTCGATAGTTAACAAACAGATTTCTTTTTGTACTGCAGCTGGTTACGTTTCAAGAATCCTATCTTAGGGATAACAATCAAATTAAGAGATGTATAACGATGTTTTCTGTCTTGGTCACATAGTGAACTCGGTCTACGCGAGTTCAACATCAAAAAAGAATCGGATTAAGAAATGATGAGTGTTAGTTCAACTATAAAAATCTTCGCATGTGCCAAGAAATACAATCGTGCACCCCAATCATACTCCCCTTTATCGAACACATTGAGTATAACTTTTCATCAGCTAATGGTCTCTTCGTACTCGTTAATCGAGTCTAAAGTTCCAAATATACCCATCAAAGCCTTTTTGCTCACGGATAAGGGTTTTAATTTATATGTTTCATCATGTCCTCGATATCGCTTCTAAAAGCAATTGAAATGAACTTAAACATAGAATTGTATAAAGACACAATTAACCTTTGTTGCATAGATTGAAATGACACAATGTCAACATCCCACTACAAGATATCGACAAGCATACAATCCACTTGCCTCTTAAATTATTAAACATGTAAAATATGACATCTTACGGACAAAAATCAAATTAAGACATGTATAACGATGTTTTCGGTCTATGCGAGGTCGATTTCAAAAAAGAATCAAATTAAGAAATGATTTGTACTAGTTTGACTTTAAAAGTTTTGGCATGTACCGTGAATTTAATTATTGTATTTTCCACAATCAAATTGAGATATTTTGGATATTTTATATATAATCTCTTTTCATCGATGGAAAAATTACTCTCTTATAAATTAGAAATTAATGATCTGTCCCACACTCTTTGCAACTTGGCTTCTTAGCTTGTGCTGCATTGAGTGTCTGTGATATGCTCTCCACCTTATGAATTTGACCAACGAAATATCTCCCATCACATACACCACGGTATCTAGAAAAAGATCTTATGAATAATTAATTAAGTCTCCAATATCTCATACACTTTACCTAACATAAACTCGTAGAAACCTATACCAAAACAGCAGAGGATTTTTTACAAACTATTGGGTAATTTCTATTTGTAGTCACTAAATTTCCAGCTAAATTTCATTTGTGTCACTATACGTCACTTAAGTTTTGATTGAATCACGAAACTTTAAAAATTTTGTTTCAAATTTCACCACGTGGTAATATACCGTCTCCCAAATTATGAAAATTGATTAATTGACAACCATACAGCAATGGATCTTTCACGTAATTACTGTGTGATATGCTAATTTACCACCAATCCACGTCATAAAACTTTAAAGTAATTCTTAACATTTCAGTATGAAGACATCTTCATAATTCTAATTTTACCATTCTCGTATCTAGGCGATTATGGGAAAACTCAATTATAGTATGATTGTCAACTGGACATATTTCGTCGACAATGGACGATGAAATGTGACACGGCAGTGAAACTCAAAATCAAATTGAGTTTCACTTATCCATCTATGACAAATTAAGGTTCCGTCTGTCAATTTGGATTTCGGGGAAAGTAGGTGGAGTTCAAACCAACCCCCAAACAAATGAAAGGAGTTAAAGGACAAAGTATTGGTGAAATTATTAAAAAGGTAGAGTTGGAAGGACAATAAGTGTTGAGGGAAATTATAATCTTTTTGACCAATGCAAAGGCAATGTGTTCCACAACAAATATACTGTCGACATCATAATCAAGCAATTCCTAATCATTGATTTTGCTAATCTAAATATTAATAGATAATTGGGTGGTCTTCTAATCACAGTGCCGCTTGACACTCAAAAAATAATTGCTTTTGGGAAACAGCTACAAGCAAACAAACAATTATGTTGAAACTTGAAAGTGACATTTTTTTTTTTTTTTTTTTTTTTTTTT